TCAATGAAAAGATTCCTAAGAAAGTTTGAGAGCTCCTAACATTGCTTCTGGTCAAAATAAATCAACATGAAACCGAAATAAAGTACCATATTTTTCGGAGTATAAGACGCACTAGAGTATAAGTATAAGATGCAGCTTAGTTTTTGGGGAGGAAAATAGGGGGGGAAAATCTGCCTACCAGGTATTCATCTGGCTAGTTTCCTTAGTGGATAAAAAACAGCTTCTAAAGCACAACTGATCTTTGGAGAGAGAAGCAATGAGAAAAGCCGGCAAATCACGGAGATCGCTTCACTTGCTAGCACCCCGTTAGGGCTGGAAAAAACCTTCAAAAAAGCTACATTTGGAGTATAAGACACACCCAAATTTTCAGCCACTTTTAGGAGGGAAAAAAGTGTGTCTTATACTCCGAAAAATACGGTACAAGTTATGGGCTTCCAACAGCAATCTTTTCAGTACTTAATCCCCCCTCCCCCCCCCCCAAATGATATATTAAATTTTAAGTTGGGCTTTGAAATTTTGAAACCTGCTCTATAAAAAAGATGGCTTGACACAAAATACCCCTGGAGTATTATATTGGATAAAAAAACAACAACAATGGGGTCCGGTCTGCTGTAATAGTGAACCATTTTTATCCAAATATTGCAATGCATTTTGGTAATCTACCTCAACACAAACAAACAAAACAACAACAAGCACACAAAGACACAAAACCTATCTTGGTTTTTTTTTTACTTTTTTACTTTATCTTGGTTTAAAGGTATTTTGCTGATCATCAATAAATATAGGGGGAGACTTTCTTGAGTTGTACTTTAGTAGTAGCAGTCAGTTTGTGGACTACTCCAAAAATAATTTCACTTTGTACAAGCATGTATGTCAACTTGTTTGGAATTCTGTGGAATCCTGTCATTTCCATAGCTTCTGAATAATGTAATCAGAAATCTGTACAATACCTACCATGGTCCAAGAGGCCATTTACATTAAGACTAAACAGCCCACTTTCAACAGAGAGGGAGGGATACATCATCTACATCCTGTTTACAACACAGTCCTTTCAGCAGTTCCAAGAAAGTTCCACACCCATTTCCACTACAGGTAGTCCTTGACTTACAGCAGTTCATTGAGTGATCGTTCAAAGTTACAACAGCTCTGAAAAAAGTGACCTATGACCATTTTTCACACATATGACCATTGCAGCATGGTCAGATGATCAAAATCCAGAAGCTTGGCCAGTGGCTCATATTTATGATGGTTGCTGTGTCCCAGGATCATATGAACAGCTTTTGTGACTTACTGATAAGCAAAGTCAATGGGGAAGTCAGATTCACTTAACCACCGTGCGACTACCATAACAAATGCAATGATTCACTTAACAACTGTGGCAAAAAAAGTTGTAAAATGAGGCAAACTCGCTTAACAAATGTTCCACTTAGCAACATAATTGTTGGGCTCAATTGTGGTCGTAACCAAGGACTATCTGTGACCCTGAGGGCACAGATAAACCTCCAAGTGGCCTCCATGACTCTCAGAAAGAGTGCTAACAACCAGATGACTGCAAGGAATATCAATCCTTCCATCATTCAGGCAGAACTGAAGAAGCTTCTTGGGTGAGAAGCAAAACATCTTCAAGGAAAAACAAAGTCCAATTGCCTTTTGAAAAAGCACCTTTGGGAAAAGAGCTACCATAATGTACAAATCTGAGAAACTTCAGTTTATCTATAGCCTCCTGAAGCTACTGGCAAAATTTCAGGAAGTGTAAGTGCTGCAGTTAGTATCAGCAGCTGAAATTATGTTGAGATATAAGCTCTAAGCAACACACATTAACTGCCTAATTAGGAGCCTATTATGCTTCATATATTACTCCAACGTGTTCACAACTCTTGTTTTCGTATGGCATTGTCCTCAATGGACCTGGCAAATGATGAATGTTTGAATAACAACTTACAGTAATTGTGCACTTGACAATGGTATATGTCAAGCAGCTTGTTCCACGGATTATGCTATATTAGTGGAGTTTTGTTCATAGCTTGTATCTGTGTTTGTTCCTGTTCTAGTAGCAAACCTATCTTAAAACTCCACAGTAGATTTCCAGTATTGCTATTTTTACAAAGAAGAAAGGAAGAATTCAAACACAAAATTACTTCCATCCTGAATGATTAAAAGCAGTCTCAAATTATGTAAGAATGTTTTTTTTTTCCTTAACTGGTTTCTCTTTCCTGTTTATTATTCTTACATATTAATTTCCACTATCCTCTAAACATTAAAAAAAAAAACCCACCAAAACAAAAATCCACTATAAAAAGACTAAAAGACTAAGTCTTCTAATATGGTTCATTTGCTTGGGTTTAAGTAAGATGTTGGCTACAGCCATGGTGACTCAGTGTTTAGAATGCAGTACAGCAGGCTATTGCTGAGTGCCCTGAAGTTTGGCAGTTCCAAACTCACCGGCTCAAGCTTGACTCAGTCTTCCATCCTTCCGAGGTCGGTAAAATGATGACCCAGGTTGTTGGAGACAATATGCTGACTCTGTAAACCACTTAGAGAGGGTTGTAAAGTACTGTGAAGTGGTATAATTCTAAGTGCTATTGCTATTTCTAGGGGAAATCAAGAGGTGAAATAAAAAACAAAAAAGGATTAACCCAAAATATTTCGAAATGCATTCCATTAGAGCAGCAGTCTCCAACTTTTCTGGCTCCATGGACTGGCAGCAGTGGTGGCGGTGGCAGTAGCACCGGTAGGGGATAGTTTTGTGTGTGCAACTTAGGTCCTGTGCATGCACAAATAAAGCTTTGCATGCTTGTGTGACCTGGTTCCCAACAGACTGTGGGCTGGTACTGGTCCACGGTCTGGGATTGCCCGATCCGGTAGCGATGGTGGCGGGTGGTTTGGAGAACCAGTAGCAAAAATCCCTTTCCACCCCCATGCCCAGCTGAGCCGTGCAATCATCAGAGGTTTTTTATTTTATTTTTAAAAGCATTTTTTCTACAACCTCTTCGGCCAAAAAAATGCTTTTAAAAGTAGAAACAAAGCCTCTGCCAATCAGGCAAGTCAGCTGGGATCATGAGAGGCTTAAAAAAAAAAAAAGCCTCTGCCGATCAGGTAAGTCAGCTGGGATGGTCACAGGCTTTAAAAAAAAAGAAAAGCCTCTGCCGATCAGGCAAGTCAGCTGGGATCATCAGAGGCTTTTAAAAGCATTTTTTTACAACCTCTTCAGCCAGAGGTTGTAGAAAAAATGGTTTTAAAAGTAAAAAAAAAAAAAAAGTTGGCCACGCCCACTCAGTCATATTATCCCTCCTCCCACCAAGCCACACCCACAGAACTGGTAGTAACAAATTTTACATTTCACCACTGTTGGGGACCCCTGTGTCACTGAGTTTTTGTATTTACCAGATGAGCTCATATATTTGGACTTTCAGACTTTCCGTAGCTTGCCAAGTTTGTTATCAGTAAGCTAACTACGCATGTCCGCATTCCTTTCTTTCTACTTCACTTTTCTTTGTTCTCTTGCCAAGAAGTCCGGCTGCAGAGAGGTGGCTGGCAGGAACGTTGCCAAAATGTAATTATTTAGATTAGTAAGATGTTTTATTTTCTTTATAACAAATAAATGAGTTTTTCTTAGAAAATATCTTCGGGGTTTATTTTCTTACAAAAGTATGCTTCAAGGGAAAAGTCACGATCTACATCTCTAAGTCAAGGTGCAATTACCCAAAAGCAGAATGGGATTAATCAGCGCCCTGACACCCTGCTTCAGTAGATTAGAAAAAAAATAATTTATTTAGTGGTGATACAATGTAATAAAGCTGAAAGCATGTCTGACAAAGCCAAAGTATTGGTCATATTTTCCCTTCATCATTTTGCAGCCCAGTCCTAGTAGCCCTAATTTCACAAATGTCTTACTGGATTTTTGTAAACCTAATTAATATAATAATTAATATAATAGCAATAGCATTTCCACTTCACAGTGCTTTACAGCCCTCTTTAAGCAGTTTACAGTGTCAGCATATTGCCCTCAACAATCTGGGTCCTCATTTTACCACCTCGGAAGGATGGAAGGTTGAGTCAATCTTAAACCGGTGAGATTCGAACTGCTAAACAGTTGGCAGCCAGCAGTCAGAAGAAGTAGCCTGCAGTACTGCATTCTAACCACTGTGCCATCATGGTTAATGTTGGTGATGACAAATTACCAACAAGTACTGAACTGAAGAACAGGTATGAATTAGGCATGGAGAAAGAGCTGGATGGTCAGCGTCCTCATCTTGGTGAAGCCTGGTAACTTTGTATATGTGATAAAAGTTAAACTATGGGTAGGCAACTTTTTAACAGGGCTGCATTTAGCATTTTTAGGAAAACTGAGATCCATATCATAAGCAGAGCAATGGTGCACAGAGGGTAAGCATTTTTCTCCCCTCATTTTGAGATGGTTTAATGTGGTGAGAATAAGTTCCACCAGTTTTGAGGGAAAGCTACAGAGGTACAAAGACAGGGTGTGGGATCACATAATTTAACTGTTAAAAGTAGTCATTTAAGAAGATAAAATATCATTTAAAATATAGCAGTTGACTAAAAAAACTAAGTTCGACCTTGAAAACTAGGTATCAAAAGTATATTCCCAGTGTTTACATTCAACTCCTTGGCAGCAAAGATTTATGCTCGAATCTTTCCAAACATTTTCTTTAAAAAAACTGGTCAGCAAAACCTTCTTCTTTAGGATGGTCAAAATGCTGTCATACATTAAAATGCCTAGGTTATATAGTACTTTACCTCCTGCAGTGAAAATATTCCTTTCAGCTGCATATGCCAATTTAATAAATGTGAGCAATAAATCCTAAAAAAAACCACGGAGATGTGCAACAAACAAACAAATACAGTCCCAAGATGAGAAGCAGAAGTTAATATGGAATCTTTCAAAAATTAAATATTGCATGGCTTATGACACAAACTCTGGGAATGAAAAAATAAAACATTCTTCTCCCCATTTCCCAAATAGAAGTAAATAACAGATACAGGATTCAGCCATTTTATTCCCCTTGTTGTAAAATCTTGGTCATAATTTCAGTTTAAGATCCATGTAGGACTTCTTCTGTGGGTCTGCTCTTCTCAGGAGTCTCTAAAAAAGAAGCACAATTTTTGCTGATTAAACATGCCATTGATGGGATTTTTTTTCCAATGAAGAATGGTAGCCCAATGAAGACTGATAGCACAACATTATGCTGAGGAAGAACTCATTAAAGTTTGTATGTAGTCAGTCACTTTGAAAAAGGGAAAGTATTTGTTGGCACAAAATGCTAACAGCCTGTGTGAATCCTCTGTAAGGCTGTAGAGGTTAAAAGTACATCATGGCTTCAATGAACATTGATTTTATGTGGATTTGGAAATGTGGGGGGAGGGGAGAGACTGAGTCACACTGAATCTCATAATTTGGACTAACAGCTGAATCCAAAATAATGTTTAGAAATCTGTGACATTGAATGTACCTGGTAAACCCAAGTGGTTGTTGGTTTTCTTACAACTTTGAACATTTCAGGAGGGTTGAATGTTTTTGTTGGGGTGAATGGTAAAAAGGTGTTGGGAAGGGATAAAAATCCCCAAAGTTGAATGCTTAGATCTATATACTCAGTTTATCTATGGGAATGATAAAGAATCCAATTAAAGTTCTAAAATAGAAGAACTGTTCGTTTGCAAAGGATTCTGCCCCTTCCGAAACAGACTCACTCACTCACTCCCACTCTCTCTTTCTCTCTCTCCCTCCCTCCCTCCTCCCCCCCTCTCCCTCTCTTACATGTCAACTATTACTTTTCTTTGTTATAGAATCCCTAGTGATCTAACCCTTTATTGTAAATACAACTACTGTATATCAAACACCTTCAGTATTTGGGATGTCATTATTCTCAAAAACTCAAAAGTAGTCCTGAACTTATGACCACAATTTGGACAAGGACTGCCATTGTAAATTGGTGCAGTCATAAGTGAGATGACACATGACCACACCAATGTGTAACTATAACCCCAGCATTTCCAATTGCAGTTGTTAACCATGGGCTGTGAAACGAGTCCTCATCGTAATCTAGCAATTCTGGACTTGGTCTGTTTGAACCCCTGGCTTTAGTAAGGTAAGGGATTGTCTCCACCTCCTCCAGTTCCCTACCTCCCCCCCACCCATCTATGCTCTTTTGATTGCCCTGCACCCTGCCTTGCAGAGCAGCAAGCAGCCCCAGAACCATAGCTCTGCTAAACCCTGGGAAGCCTCACCCACCCAAGCCTACCCAGGAAGCACCAGCAAGCACTTGATCACTCAGCTGCCTTCTCCTCTCAGCCCCATGTGGCTCCCAAGCAGGCCAATCTGCAAACATTTCCTCCTTCCCATCCCGTCCCAGCAAGCATTTGTTCACTCTTCATTCCATCTGAACAAGTATTCATTCATTCACCGTCCTTCCCCCCCAGGTTCGTGCCAACCTTTTGCATTTTGTTGTCTCATTTTCAGACACGGCTTCTGTGGCAAACATTACCTACATGTTCCCTGAGCCTTCAGAAAACATTCCTGTCTTTGTAAAACTCAAGGTATTCCTGACTACTGCTCCCACATTCTGACTTGGAGGACTCTTTATCAGTGTGTATGAGAGTTCATGACTGGGATAGACATGGCAACAGTTCAGCCATTGGGGACTGGCTGGAATAGGACATGGTAACAAGGTCAGCTAATGTATAGGCATAGCAACTAAGTCAGTCAATGACGGCTGTTTGGGAGCTGAAACAGCTTGGAGCCTGGGCGTGGCTTAGGTTAACTGATATGTATAAATATAAGTTGTGTGCTCCTATTATTGTCCTTCCTTCTGTTAACTGTGCTTCTGTGATTATGCTTCTGATTCTGAGAACTGCTCTTGGTATTGTATATACGGTATGTCTCATGTGTTATTATGTATATAAAAAGTTTCTTATTTAATGAATCCTGAATGAATGCTGATTCAGTTACCTGTGTGTGCTTTCTGGATTTGATTACAGCAACAAACTCTGGCACTCTTGAAGAGTTAAACAATCAGGAATTGTGACTGATCCCAAACCATCAGTGAACCTGTATAGGATCGCATACCAATTTTGCATTAAGCAAATTGGTATGATTCTTTGGTGACATTAGAAAGAGCACATGAGCACAATTGGAACATTGTTAAATCTTCCCTTGAACAGTCCTCTCCCCTAATCCTGCATTCACTTGCATTCCTATATAACAGAAATTCTGAGTATAAGATTTGTTTCGCTGAGTTTAGTTTTATTCAAATATTATATATGGCAGAACGTAGAAGATGAGTTTTTAAGCTAGAGACTTCCTTGTTCCTATCCAGATAACTTTTCTATTATTCCTCACTTGGATTCGGCTGCTAAATTGCTTGGTTTTTCTGCAGTGGGCTAATGTATTTATTGTCCTGAAATAATTTAAATAATGTTTGGAAAATGTGTATACATAGGACGGTGGGATCCAAACTACTCATAAAAATGAATTCTCTCCATTAATTTGGATACATTTTAACTGTTACCTTCAAGAAAGTGTTTTCATGCAATGTGAAATCCATCATTAAGAACAATGTTACATTATTTAAAAAGCCATTCCTACTGGTCATTATTTCATCAATTATTTAACATTAATTTATCAATGAGCAGATTGCAAAGAGATCACCTTGAGAGTTTATTGTATACAGGCAAAATTAAGTGCAAAGATAAAAAGAAGAAAAGCTGAAGTATCTGAAAAAGAACACCCAAACATGTCTATACAGATACAGACCTCCAGGGCATGCAAAAATCATGATAACAAATTGCCAAGATGAACATACTTAGACTTTATAATATTATTCTATTCATATAAGTTTTGACTTCCCCATCTTGGCTGTTTAATTTTAATTTATATTTTTTGCAAAAATTCTTTCTTTTTTGTTGGTAGATATGGATGGAGTACGTTTAGAAAGCCAATGGTCCAAAGTAAAGCTAACAGCTTGTGCAAACCTAAAGCAGAACGCTCATAATAGTCAAATCAGAAATTGCTTCCCATAAACATACAATTAAAATTGATGTTGACTATGAATTTAACTCAAGTTTACTCTATTTTTTTAATCTTTAACTTTGTTATTAGATTATTTATGACACTGGCTAATGAACAGTTGGAGTAAAAATATAACTTTGGAAAATGAAAGAAATTCCTTTCCTTTTTACTCCTTTACTGAGCTCATGTTATAATACCACACTATTCTACAACTCCCACCTATTCATCCCATACTGCTCTATATTATTGGCTGCTGATGTTGGAACAATGACATGAGATAACTTAGGATAGACAGCACATAATACACTTACAGTTGCCTTTTTTTGTAAACAGCTGCTTATTTGCATAATACATAGAGTGACCTTGAAGAAGAAACTAAAAACTGGGGAAACAAGCAGTTAATATTTTCTCATTTAGTAATTCGCCTGAAATCTTACTTTCATTCAATTTCTCTTCATTTTCCTAAAAGAAAGGAGGTCTCCAAGATGACAAATATTTTGAATAATATTAAAAATGACAATTGATCATAAAAAAACTAAATACTTCATTTAACTGCACAAAGATAGCTGCATGACACCATTTTTTTTTTTTTTTTGCATCAGTACATACAATCTCATTTCTTTCTTTTCAAATTAATTCTTTTTTCAGTTACATTTTTCATTGCATCATTGAGATTTACCTTTCAGGACAGTTTTTTTCTGTAAAAATGTGTGTGCATAAAACTGTAATTTAGGAGACCTGAAGACTGGGGGCCATATCACATGCTACTTGAATTGGCATTGGGTTTACTGCTCATAAGTGATTCATTGTTCTGTGATATATATCCATCCATCCATCCATCCATCCACATTTTATAATATGCAGAGCATATATGTTACATGCAGTTTTACATATTACAAAAATCTCAAAATATATTTTTGGATGCTTCAATTGTGATTCATTAGAGGCATTACCAATTCAATTCTGCCATTTTGGGATTGCTAAAATCAATTAAAATATGGGGATTTAAATATAAGGCTAGGTGGCTCAGTGGTTAAGACACCGAGTTTGTTGATCAGAAAGTTCGGTGGTTTGAATCCCTAGTATAGGTCTCCTGCGTGAGGGGATTGGACTAGATGACCTCCAAGGTCCCTTCCAACTTTTTTACTGTTAAATGTTGCTACTTTCTCTACAGTACAGAATCCTGGAACTCTTCCAACTTCTTCTGTATCATCAAGAATTACTCAAATGATGATCCTAGTTAGCAAGAAAAGATAGCTATTTCCTTTTGAAATGACAGAAGTAAGAACTGCATTTATGTTCACTATTGGAAATAAACAGACAAGTTAGGTCAGTGGAATTATTTGGAACAGCCTGTCATGATGCTTTGAACCCCCAATCTTATCCTTTCTGTAATTACTTGAAACTGATCCTTGCTTGCATCGTGACTATACTTTTTATGTCACCTATTTGCTGCACTACTTTAGCCCTTGACTTATGCCTAATGTCTTCCTAAGAATGGGCATATTTTTGAACTTAACCAGAACTTAACCAGAATTATAAAACTACACCAATATATTTCCCTAGTTGTTCATACATCAGTTAGATATGTACCAAAAAAAACCCATATATCACATTATATGTACAGTGATATTTACATTATGACTGTACAAAGCTTCTGACACCCATCTCCAGCATCTGAAGTCTATAGCTTTGTGTGTGTGTGTGTGAGAGAGAGAGAGAGAGAGAGCGAGAGAGAGAGAGAGAGAGAGGGAATAAAACTTGTAATAACATCTAATTTCAGAAACAAGGTTTGGAGGCTGAGATTAGTTTACTAATATATGTTTGTGTTTATGTACAGTATGTATATATGTACATATGCATATGCATATATACCCCTAACATTCTCCTGCATGAATATAATTTGCTGATTTTTATCTATTTACAAAACACAGTATTCGTATATGATAAACGATCAGTATCTATAGCTAGATACTGATTTGTGGCTGTATTTATCTAGTGGCATTTGATATTTGACATATAGATCTCTACTAGTAGAAAGAATGAGATTACAGGTGATCCTTAAGAATCATTTGTTCAGCTCCATTTGAATTTATAATGAGGTTAAACAGGTAACACTTATGACTGATCCTTGTACTTATATTGGTCACAACATCTTTGTAGTATAATAATAATAATAATAATAATAATAATAATAATAATAATAATAATTTTATTTCTATACCGCTCTTCTCCCGAAGGACTCAGGGCGGTGTACAGCCTATTAAATGCACAAAGACAATTAAAATAATTTAAAATTATTAAATAATTTCGGCTCAATATTAAAAACCCCCAAAATTTAAAACATCCAATTTAAAATCATTACATTGATAGCCCGGCCTGGCGGAACAGCAGGGTCTTAAGGGGATAGCGAAATACCCTGAGGTAATATAACAAATATACCTATTTGTGACCTTCTTTGCTAGCTTCCTACAAGCAAAGTCAATGGGAAACTCAGTCAGAAGTTGCAAATGGCAATCACATGATATCATGATTTACCAGTGTGCCACTTAGCTGCAGAAATTTTGGTCCCAATTACCACTATTGAGGGTTGCTAACATCAAAAAAACAAGGTCAATGTACAAAAATATCTTGATATAATTGAACATTGTGCCTTTTCCAACAAAATGAAGTTTGGTGATGAGAAATGTATGGTTCTACACCTAGGAAGAAAACATGTACTGGTATAAGTTAGATGCAGCTCACTCAGTAGTACTACTTGTAAAAAGGATTTAAGTATCATGGTAGATCCCAGATTTAGCATCGGTAGCAGTGTGTTTATGGCTGCTAAAAGAGCAGATGCAAACTTAGGCTGCATTAACAGAGATAATATGAACACCATGGGAAGTGATAACTACCATGGTGCACTAGTCCAATTAGACTGCACCTGGAACACTCTATCCAGTTTTGCTCATCACAATACAAGAAGGATGTTGAGAAACTGGAAAGAGTGCAGATAAGAGGAACAGAGATAATGAGGAATTTGGGGGACTAAATCTATGAAGAACAGTTTAAAGAGCCAGAGTAGAGAATAACAAAGATAACTTTGACAGAAATATGCAGGAACAATTACCTAAGCAAGAGAGGTTGAAACATTCTTTAAGTCCAAAACAGTGAGATAACATTCAGAACCATCTTAGCTAGACATCTCCCATATTCTCTGGATTGTAAGAGGAGGAGTGCATACTTGCAAGATTATTATTGGAGACAGTCTCAATAAAAAATTGTTTGAACCTTTTGTGCAGTTGATTTCCTGCTCTGGTCTACTGGATATGTTTACACTAAAGAAGAAATGGTTAAGGCTAATGATACCAATCTTCTAATAGAGGTGGCACAGAAAAAAAGGGGTGTGGATAAATCAAGAACAAATGGTTGGAAGAAAGAGAAATCCATATCTGAAGTAAGGAAGAATTTCCTGTCTTTGTGAGTTACTAACCGGTGGATCGGTCTGCTTCTCTGCTTCTCGGAGTAGTGTTCCATTATTGGAGGTTTTCAACAATGGTTGGATGGCTATTTCTCGGCATGGTCTGCCCTAGCTGGACTACAAAACCTCTAAGGCTTCCAGCCCTATGATAACTCTTACATTACCAGAATAATGGCTTTAATGTGCTATAGATCATTAGCTTTGCTTGTTTTATCTTAAACTGCGGTTCCAAATACATCCATGCGAGCATTGCATACAACTTGCGGACTTCTGAGTAGCTCTCTATTGTGAAGGAATACTGTGTGCTGAAAAGTGGAAAGCTCCTGTCTTGGAAGCTGAATCATAAACAGGCTCTGTATGTGAATCCCCTAGTAATGTCTAAGAAGCAGGCAGACTTTGGATGAAAAGAATAAGAATCTGCAGAGTCATTTCTTCCTTTCTTCTTGCGCTGAAAATTATACATTCTCAAACTGCAGCAAGCCGAAAGCCAGCGAATAGGCAAGATAGATGGATTAGAGTACAAGGCACAGTTCAAATAGTGTGAAGTGTGCAATGGGCCCCTACAGGAGGTATGAAAATACACTCCCCTGCCGGGGGGGGGGGGGGAAGAGGGGGGAGCCGGAAGAACACAAATCAATGCAGAAACGATAACTAGGGAGATAAAATAAAATAGGTCCATGATTAAGGCCTCTCTCTATACTACCAAGGCTCTTTCTCAATACTGTTAACTACATGCTGCGATTCTTTCCATAAACAATCCTGTAAAAATCTGGACACATCCAAGCTTTAAAAAAAAAAAAGCATAAATAAATAAAACAGGGCAGGAGTGTGGAGATGACAGCGTCTAAAGCTTTGTGATGCCCATCTGATTAAAATGAGATCTGTAGCTTCTTAGCGTCTGAAGGAGGGGGAAAAAAATCACTGCTCAAGAAGACCGCACCGCCTTCCCCATCCTCAATCGCCTCTATAGGAAAGCTCCCCCCCCCAAAAAAAAATGTTATTTCTGAATCCTGGGGGTGGTGGTGGTGATGGAAATAAGCGGGGGTTTCATTTCCGAGTCAACCGAAATTGCAATCGGGGGAGGGGGGAATCAAAGCCAAGACAGCCCCCCTTCGTTCTTTGACACGAGATAAGGCGGGGCGGCAGTGAGAGGCGCCGTGACACGGGGAGCGAGAAGGGCAGGCTGCTTGCCGTCCGCCCGCCACCTTCTCAGTTCTCCGCCACCTTTCCCCACGCATACAAGCTAGATGCCTTTATAATCATGTGGGGCGCGCGTACAGTCGCCCGGGCGCGCACACGCGGTTAGTAAGCGGGGGTGGGAGCGGAATCTTACCGGAGAAGCGAGCGAGCGAGGGTCCGAAGAGATTCGCTTAGTAAAGACTCGCGTTGGTGGGAGTAGCAGGGACTCCGCTGCGCGTTCTTGGGAGCCGAGACGTCACGCGAGCACTGGGAAACAAGCGGGAGAGAGCGAGGGAGAGGGAGAGGCGGCAGATGAGATCCCTCAACTCTCTCTCCCATTCCCGCCGATTCTGGAGCCGCCTTCCCTTTCCCTCCGCTTGCCTTCAGCTTTGCTGAACCCAAGGCTTCCCGCCGGCGGCGGGAGAAGCGTTTCCCTTTCCCTCCTCCGCTCTCCCAGCAGCAAATTCCTTCACAGCGCCCTGTCTTTGGAAACTTCCGAGTAAAATAAGTCAGAAAAAGCGAGGCTCGATTTGTGTCTGTTTTGTGTGTGTGTGTGTGTGGTGAGAGAGAGAGAGAGAGAGAGAGAGAGAGACTCCCTCCCTGTGTGTATAGGTGTGTGTGTGTGTGTGTGTGTGAGAGAGAGAGAGATTGAGAGACTCCCTCCCTGTGTGTATAGGGGTGTGTGTCTCGTGTCTAAGCGGTACAAGGTTGTCGTGTGTGTGTGTGTGGTGTCTAAACAGAACAAGGTTCCTTCAGTCCCTGGAGACCCTGGAGTTTCAAGCGCACGTTCTGATCCTCGAGGCTCATTCGGCTGCGCGCAAAGCAAACGGGTGGGCGGGCTGGGGAGCCTATAGATCTTCTTTTGCAACCTGTAAAGGAGGATCGTTGTGGGGGTGGGGGACTGAAAGGAGTTGTCCAAAGGCGAGTGTGAGAGAGGTTCACCCTCTGCCTACGCATCCCCCCCCCTCCGTTTTTCCCGAATCTTATTGGATCCTCCCCCCAGTTCCCAGCTTCCTAAAGCACCTCCGCCGCTATATCTATATCAGGATGAGTCCAGCCTCCTCGCCTAGTTTTCTCCGCCTGCCACCTTGTCTCTGGGACCAAAGTCCACCCCACCGGCTCTTTTGGGTGTTAAGTTTTCTTTCTTTCTCTCTCTCTCTCTCTCTCTCTTTTTCCTTTTTCCGGAATGGTCCAAGCTTTCGACTTCGCCAGTTTCCTCAAGTGAATCTTTAGATCGTCCACCTGCTTTGCCTTAAGAGGGATCGTCCAAGCAAATCTGCGAGATCGGGTTCCCTGCCTTTTTCCCCCCCCCTCCTTTTCCTGGCAGCGACTCGATCCCCTTTATATTACTTGCTGTTGTTATTATTATTATTCTTCCTATTCCTATTGCTCGTACGATTTCCTTCCCCGCTTTCGGAAGGCTTCGCGGGCTCTCCTCTTTCGTCGCTGGAGCGCGCACGCGCCTGAGCGCGCGCACCCGGGGCAAAGACACATATGTAAAAAGCGCGGTTTGTCAAAGCTGGGGCTCTCGGCCGTTGAGGAATCGCCGGAGGGTGGCGGTTACCGTCCCGCCGGGGCCCCCACAGCGCTTTAGCCTACTACGGCTTTTAGATCTCACCTTTCGGAAAGCTCCTTGGGAACTATCATGGGATATTCGCTCGCCTCGTGGAATCTTTTTATTCCGGGACATCTCGCCTCTTGAAATTCCGCCCGGTGAGTACCTTAGCCTCGTCCTAACATAGCAGCTTTCCAGCTATTTTGGGTGTTAGAACGGGGGGTGGGTTGATAGAACAGCTTGTCCCACCTTCAACCTGGTTCCCTGCGCACGTTAGGCTACCATTCCCATAATCCCCAGCCAGATTTGGAGACCAAGGAAGAACATTTGAACATATGAACATATTGAACATATGTTTGAACATTTGCTCGCCCGTTTGGCCAGCACTCCCCCTTTCAGAGAAAGGGCGATCAAGCAAAGCAAAAATAAAAATAAAAAAATCCCTATTTGGAGAGATATTTTTTTGGCGGGGGGAACTTGGGGGGATATTTGCAAACCCCCAATATCCCCCCCTTACATAAAATATCTGTGTTTGCACTGAAGAACATTTCCATCCGTTAACCTTTTCCTCGCCCATCCATATTCGATTGGCAGCATTTGGTTTTAAAATGTGAGCGCGCCGGGATGCGGTGGAGAGAGAATCAACTTTGTTCGGTAACTTAGATTTCTCAAAGCTTCTAGGTTCCGCCTCTTTCTCCCACCACAACATATACACAGGTTATAAACCGCCACACGGCAATGGTAAACTCGGGCTGTTGAATGCTTCTTGACATCCGAGGAGCTCCCGCAACGTGCTTTTAGTTTGGCGCGCTGATGTGGCTCCTGTTGGGCGTCGGGCGAAATTTCGGGGTTGAAAGGCCTGGCAAGGGGTGGGGTGGGGGAATCTCAAAGGTGTGGTACCTCTTGTCTTTGAGGCGACGTCGCCCTAAGTCAATCCTCTGATCTGAAATGGGCAGAAGACGTTCTGTCTGGTGGAGACTTTGAGACACCCTTAAAGTCCTAGAAGGAAGCCGAAAGAGGGAGCAAAGGGACACGTTCTCTTTTCCGTTGTCCCAAAGCTTCGCGGGGGTTTAGAACAGCCTTCCCATCCCAACCTGGTCCCCTGCACACGTTAGACTACCTTTCCCATAATCCCCAGACAGATTTTGAGACCACAAGCAATGCTGAATAGGAGTATTTGTTCCTAAGGAGGTCTTGAAGGTCTTGAAGGTGATGGCAGAGAGCTTACTTGATAGAAGTATAAACATCTAAGGGTGTGCAGGCACATGTAGTTTTAGCGTTGTAGTTGCCAATTAAAAGGGTCTTTTTAAGACCAGTAACAGATTTGGAAAATCACTAGAGGTACTATCTGACAAAGAGCTGCTGTAAATGGTCAGTCTTCCCGATGCATGGCTTTGCTGGGTCCACATTTTGCTTTAGATGACCACCTGAAAGTTGGCATGTGGCAAGCTGGTGGCCTGAAGGGCAATTTCATTTCTGCTAGTAGACCACTCCCTGGGGTCTTAATAAAACCTCCAACCTTCTCCCAGATCATACTAACCTACTCGTAAGGCTATTGCTTAAAAAAAATATCAGCAAAGCACTCTCAAGAGCATTCTGGAAATGCCAGGGAGTTGAGAGTTACTGGGAGTTCTTGACTTTAAGGGGAAAATTGCCCGAGGTCATTGCCAGTGGCAAGTGACATGGGTTCCCCTTCCAGGAGTCTTGCCCCTAAATCTGAAATTCATGATTATACAGGAAGGTGAAAAGCCTGGTGAGAATGAGTGTCTCCTTTCATCTTATGGGTTTGTGCCCCAATATGGTAAAGGAGGGGCAGGTAGGTTTTTCTTTCCTGGCACACGCATGCCCACTCTGGCTTTTCAAAAAGAAACTGATTTACTTGATAGAAGGCCCTTTTACTCCTTGGGAAGTGCCCACCTCACCATTCTCATGACCACTCTTGAGGTAGTAGATTCCTTTGCAGCTGAATTCAATGCTCAGCCCAGCATACTCTTCTAAAATATGTGTGGGGGTGGGTGATCAGGATTAAAAGCCTACCTCTGATGAACAGATAGGTGGATCCTGCATTACTAGAAGCAATACTGAATCTGAAGGAGCTTCTCCCTGGACTTAACTAAGACGTCCTTGTTTCATTCATCCCCAATGGGTTGAGCTGGGATTTCCATCACTGGCTTCTGCAAAGCTCCCTTTCAGTTGGATTACCCTTATCTGGTAGTCAAGGGTGGGGCGTATTTGATTTTTCTAATGCCCCCACTAGTATTTCTGAGAGACCCACCTGGTAGGAATTGCTCCGGATTAACTAAACCCGGTGTAAAACCGTCTACTTTCCTTCTCCTCCTTTTCTGGCACCAGCTGGAAGTGAGGGAAGGCAAGTCACCTTGCTCCGGCCGACGCTGTATGCTGCGTCCCCCATCAACGAAGCGCCTCTCCGTCTCCTTGCCATCCCTGTTAGCTTTGGCCTTCCCTCTCCACCCCCTCAAACAGAACTTGTGTAATTAACCAAATCCCAGTCGGGGTTAGTCAATTCCGAGGAGTAGGCTGCAGCTAGCGCAAGCAGCTGCAGCCCCCCCTCTCCCATCCACCCCCCTCCTCTCTCTTTCAACTCCTCTGGATCTGGGAGAAAGAGAAACTTTGCGAACGAGCAGATGCACGCCAGAGGAATGACGGAACGCAGGCGAGCCAGCTAGGTAAGCGAGTCTGCACGATTCTCAGCGTCTTGTGAAAACTGCGAGAAAGGGGAGCGCTGATTTTAGGCTTGGCGGTGGGGAAGGTGGGCTCTGATCGACGGGCAGAACCGGAGGGACAGCGAGCGTGAGACAAACGGGTGTGAAAGGGATGAAGGGCAGGCGTCGAACTGGAATGCAAAAAAAAAAAAAAAAAGGGCGGAAGGAGGAAGCCCCGCCGTGCTTAATCGGCTGAACTAGAGGCGGAAAAAAAAATCATCTGTGCCTCGCTTGCGAAGAAATCAATGCGATTAATGGTGCATTAGTAGGCATTTGCAGGCAGCGGGCGAACGAGCGCCAGGCAAGTAAGCAGCATGCTCCTCCGGCAAAAATAATAATAATAAAAAAATCCCGATCAGCGTTAAAAGTCTTATTTTTAGCTTGATACTATTCACTGGGAGTTTGTTGGAGTGGTGGTGGTGGGGAGCTGATGGGATACATGCCAGGCCAATCAGAAAAAAAGGTGGCTGGAAGAAAAAGACCAGGATGGAATAAAATTTCCAAAGATTATTCAGCAGTTTGGCAGTTTTGATTTGGATGATTAAGTATGAAAAGAGGCAAAGGAGCATGAGATGAAATTAACCCATCCAGCAAGTCTGTACAGTATAGTGGCTTTAAAAGTTTGTATTTTATCTCACCAAGATACTCATTATTATCTGTAGGTTCTATGTCTTCATGGTGTATCCCCCCCCCTTTCTCCTATAAAGGACTAACCAAAAGGCAGGCAGAAATAGTAGCTGCAATTCCAATTTGTGTAGATTTCTTGCTTCTGTAGATCAAGGCTCATTTAAATACAACTAAGAAGATTTTTCTTGATCACTGGATAAGGAACTAGTGACTTCGCTCTTTAATAGCTGAGGTTTTAAGGAGAAGTACTGGCAGCCTGGCCAACAAGTAAAAAGGAAATAAGTGAGGCTTAGATGTGGTAGTGGAGGGAGATTTATTGAATGCTTGGTTCTTTTCAGTGACAAATAGATCCTGAGAATTGTTCGGTCAAAAGTGCTGCACATGACACTACTTAACATTACAGATACATGCACCCACACACATATTTAATCCCCATTCAATTCATAACATCTTTTGCAGGACGGACGAGGTGACCCTTTTATCCAAAATTCTGATGAACTGTTGGCAGTCAATCTCAAAACTAGTGAAGTAATGGGCCAACAGAGACAATTATCTAGGATTTTTCTGAAGTTTTTATTTGCAACATATGATGGCATATTGGACTGGCCAATATATAGAGAAGAAAAATAAAAGATCTGGGTTTTGGATTATTGAAAGGCAGGGTAGAAAATCCAGCATAACATTTTCTTTAATTTGTTTTAGGGGCAAAAAACATGTTAAAGTCCTGATCACTCCTTCATATGATTAACTCATTTCTCTACATTTGTTCTTGATTGACACATGGACATACAGTTCCCTAAAAAGCTAAATGTGTGAACTCAACCCCATTGTAAGCATGGATAAAATATTAGTTGAATATCCCATTTTGTTATGTCTTTTATGGTCTGTTCAGATGATAAATAGGTAGGGATGAGCCAACTTGTAGATCTGGGGAAGTGCTCTTTGGTTCTACTTCAGTGTTTGGCCTGGGGTCAATCCATCTCTGTCAGTCTCTAAGTAAAAAGTAAATAACCACCTCTTTACAGGGCTGCTGGGAGAGCAAAGCCTAAATAAATTTGAAATGTCACTGCACAGTAAAGGATCATAAGAAGAGACAAGAAATGAGCTTGGTAGGAAGGTAGGAAAATAGGTAGATTCTCTAGCTCTTTGTATCCTTCCTTCCTTCCTTCCTACCCATCCACTTACCTACAATGTATTTCTTCTGTATAGAAGAACAGCACCTTTTCAGAGAGGAATCCTTTGCTTTTGCAGCCAGATGGTAGCAGACTCAAAATCTCAGAAGATTTGAATCCTCTATTGGTTTCATCACCAAGCTGTAGACCAGGGTTGTTGTTCTACTTGTCCTTTGCTGTGATAATGATCATGATTTCTCCTTCTCCTTCTTGAGAGTCAATTATCCAGGAAGATTTTCATCTGATCCTGAAAAGAGAAACAGAGTTTATTGGCCATATAAACTTATGTGCCTAAATTGCTACTCTGTGGGTAGCAGTCTTGGTCTAATTAATCCATATTAGTTAATCAGATAGTTCCTGAAGATATGGTGTGGTAGGGAGTATCTCTATGATCTCTAACAGAGCAGGGAGGAAATTGAACTCCAGCTGGACAAAACAAGAAATAATTGAAAAATAAGGGGTGAGATGTCTCAAGGTGAGTTGATGCGACTTGGCACTAGTTACAAATTGATAGGCACTAAGCAGGTAATGAGCCACCGTCCTCGGCTGTAACTTTCTATTGCTTTCTTCTGCCTTTTCTGTGAAAATGTCATTAAGTATTAAACTGCATCCTTTAGTGAATGACTCCATCACACA